ATTGACTTTGAACACTGATGTTAATAATTATTTAGATCAAGAATACAACATGCCTTTCAATCTCACTATATTCTGTATATTTAATTGTCATAAGAGGCCATCATTTAAATTAATTTTATTCCTTTTTGTATGCCTGAGCCATCTTCATTTTCTGAATCTTTATTTCTATCTGGTATGTTATATGGTTAGCCATCCTAGAATCTAATAGACATATAACTTACATATTTGTATTGCTGCCTCAATTTTTTCTCGTTATAAAATATAATTCTTGACCTCTCCTGGCTCTACGCTGATGATATTCCATGAGTCCAATATTTTTCTAGTGTTGCTCGTGCATGTTTATTTATTATTATTTCTGTCCTCGTCTATCACGTGACTGGTCACTGACGACCTCCTTGCACATTCCGTGTTCATGCTATCTAACTCGTTCTTTGAGTCCAAAATCATAGATGACGCTGATGGTACCTAATGGTTGTATTAGGGGCATATTGAGCGCGTATCTTGAACAGAATGTCGTCACGATTCTCTTATTCTTTATGTAGCATTGTTTAATATGATAGAAAGTAAATTTTATATAAAAAGATTGATGGAAGATATGTAGTTTATGCAGGATTAACTCTAATTTTTAATAGGACGGAGAAAAAATTGAAGTTATTCTTTTTATATTTAAAATTTATTTTTCATACTTTGAAATATTTATGCTTGGGCATACAAACATTTTGAACATTACAGACAATTTCAATACAATTGGGTTGTTACAACATGGTGTATTTAGAAAATTCATATCATTTGCCAATAATTCTAGGAATACAAATTTCGTAGCAATTGACTCTGACATCTGACAACAAGTGACTCGCTGACATCCTAACGCACTTATTTTACCCTCGCATTTTAAGATATTCTTTATTGTCTTTCGATATTGCCATAAATTTTCCCTTCATACGATCTTTCACACGCACACCAGATATTAGCCTGAACGCACAAGCCAAACCCGAGGCTGCTGTTTATTGCTACTTACTCGTTTTCGAGGAACGAGCTAAGAGTTCCCATGCATTCTATATTAATACCCACACAAAGGATACTGTCAATCAGGCGATGACCTATACAATATATGGAAGATATTTTAAACTTATTACTAACTAACTGCTAATTTATAATTAATTAATGACTAATTTATAACCAACTAATAACTAACTTATAACTAGTTTATATCCAATATTTCAATTGGTGCGTAGCTCTTAGCTTGGTATCGTTTCCAAAGATTTTTCTTTTCAGAAAAATCTCATTCATGAAAAATAATACCAATTACCAGGTCTCACCACGTAGAGGTGGCTACGCATCGAGACCCGGACATGCGCTCTAGTGGCGCAACCTACTGGTACTATCCGTATCAAAGGTAGCCTAATCTAACTTGGAGCGAACTAAAGTAAAATTACTCTACTGACACTTTATTTTATTTCGTGTTTTACAAAAGGAGTTTCGAGTCGGTATACTACAACTTTACTGTCGCAACGCTAAGATATTTTATTTTGACAAAGGGAATGAACTATGAAAGTCGCGAGCAAGTGAAAAATCGCGACGCGCCCGAACGAGTACGCGATTATTCGAAAGACCGACTAGCTTACGCGACGCACTCCCGTGTACAAGACAACTCCAGCTACAGCACCCTGTCGATCGGGCCTTGTCCACCCTGCCACCGTCGACCTCGCTATGGCTTACTCGATGACCTAAGGCAGCCAACGAACCAGGGAATCACCCAGAGTCAATCCGAGGGTCCTATGCGAGGCCTAACAGTCGGAATCACGCGCATGCTCCATACCCAGGCTCTGTGCAAACATAACCACATAGCCGCCAAGTGCATCAGGGCAGGCAGGCACGCTCTTGCAATGATTCCGACTGCAGGGCCCATCCCCCGGTCGTGTGCACGAATTGGCACCCAGGACGACTAAGGTCGACGGACCCTCGTGTTGCACCAGGTGCCTCACTAGCCTGAGAGCCACCAAAGATCTCGATGCATGACGAGATTGACAGTGGCAGAAATGGGTGTCGGAGACGAGTCTTGAGAATGACTTACGAGGCATGGAGCTATCGATTACACGGGAAGTACGTGCGTAGGCTAGTCGGTACTTGAAAACAATCGCGATTATCACGAGAACAATTACGTTCTATTTGGTAAACGAGAGGGATAAGAGAAAGATAACGAATCTATATATTTCGCTCCAAGTTAGGTAGCTTACCTTTGTACAGATAGTGCGCACATGATACTTAGCCTAGGTATCTATCTTAATATCTATCTTATAACTACTTATGTGTAACCGCAGGCATGCTGCGTCGTCCAACGATGTCTTGAAAATCTTGAAAATCTTGAAAATCTGTAACAAAAAAATATATAAAGTTGATATGAAACGGATTAGTCAGAGGAAAGAAAAAATCGAAACGAATATGAACCACAGAGATAAACCAAATGAATAGAACTAATAATTATACATGAACTACCCAACGATGAGACATTCGAATATTATACGAAATATTCGAATTCTCAAGTAAAGATCAGTAGAAGGGAAAAAAATCTGAAAAAAGAAAAAATTAATTAACTCCCGAAAAGAAAAAAAATGTGAAAACCTGAAAAAGAAATAAATTAGACCTGTCAAAAAAATAATTATTAGAAACCCAACGATGAGACATAAATAACCGAACGATAAGATATAAACAACCCAACGATGAGAAATAAAAAACCTAACGACGAGACATTCGAATATTATACGAAATATTCGAATGACCAAATATGAATAAATATAAACGAAAAATAACATCTAAAATAAAAAAAAAAAATTAATACCTGAAAAAATAAAAAATAATTAAAATCTGAAAGAAAGAAATAATTAATAACTGAAAACAAAATAGAAATTATTAGTAAATTGTTTAAGGGAGTGGGATGTGGGTGGAATGGCTAGCCCCAACCTCTCTGCGGCCCCATTTCCATTCCCACACACGAAAAATTTAATGTTACACTCCCGATATCAAACCGGCAAATGACTCGTAGTGTCGCCCTTTATATAGCTCCCGATCGGCCGAAGATCGACGAAAACTTCCGAACTTTACCGATCCATTAATTATTACTTTTCCACTATAATAGCCAATAATTTATTAATTTTTTCATTTTTATTATAAATTTACGCTGTAAACAATTTATTATTAACAATAATAATTTGTTATTAACAATCAGTGTAATAATTTATAAACTTTTTTTAAGTTACAGGTATATTTTAACAAAAATTCGTTATTAGTTTAAATAATACTCAATAATTTGTTAATTTTTTTACATTTATTATAAATTTACGTTATGAACAACTTTTTATTAACTATATTAATTAGCTACTAACGAGAAATATAATAATTTATATACTTTATTTGCGTTTTTAGAATATAAATTTCCGTATGTATTTATATTAAGTATTTGTATGCTTTAATCAATTTGTTATTAACAATTTCAATTTGTTGTTAATAATAAATTGACAATTTATACATTTTTTATAAATTATAACTGTATTCGCATTTCCATAGGATAAATTTCCTGAATACATATATGTGTGTCAAAATATTTTCATTTCCTATGTATTTTTTTATTATTTTATATTAAAAAATCATTTGTATTTATGTATGGAATAACGAAATTGTTTCATATTACATAATACGGTACTGTGTACCAAATTCGTGTTAAATACAGAACTTTTCATGAAATTGCAAGAATGTGCATAGAAAATACGCTCAGAGGTTTATTTTTGAACTTCGATAACCAATTATAGGTATCCAGAAGCACGAATAATTATAATTATGGACATTTATAAACTCTGGATACTCACACCTAACTTTTACGACAATGATAAATTTCCCAACGTTCTTACTTCTTACGTGGTACTTCATTTTGGCCAAAAATCATGTCTTTTTAGGAAAACTCGCATTTTTTGGAAGCAAATTTTGAGGGCAAAGAAATTTGAGAAGAAAGAAAAAAAAATTTTGATGAAGCAATCTCGATTACGGATTCGTGTTCAGAAAAGTAAACTCTATCAAAATTATTTAATGAATATTATAGGTTAGAGAAGCAGTTCAAATTTGTTGGACAGTGTAATTGACATTTCTGACAGTTACTAAGCATCAAAAACCACATATTGGGGTGTGTCACTTCCCGAGTGACCCACCTTAGTGTGCTAACAAGGGAAGGACCTCAATTACTTGTCTTCAATTATAATGTATTTCTGAAGTATGGTATTGACATAAGTATTATGTAAATTATTAAATGTGAATAATCTCAATGATATTCTGCTATTACCTATTACGTCAGTGGTTCTCAACCTTTATTTAGATCACGCGTTAAAATCATTTCAGTGGTTCTCCCCATCTTTATTTAGATCACGCGTTAAAATCATTTCAGTGGTTCTCAACCTTTATTTAGACAACGCGTTACACACCTTGTCAGTGGTTCTCTATCTTTATTTAGATCACGTGTTAGACACCGTGTTAGTGGTTCGCAACAGTTTGTTTCGATCACATATTAAATACCGTGTCAGCGACCCTCAACCTTTATTTAGATCGCATATTAGACTCTATGTCAGTGATTCGCAACCTTAGTTTGGACCACGCACTGGACCCCATGTCAGTGGTTCTCAACCTTTATTTAGATTTCGTGATAGGTTCATGTCAGTGGTTCTCAACCTTTATTTAGATCGCGTGTTGGACTTCATATTAGTGATACTCGATCATCGTTTAAACCACCCTCCAGTAGTTCTTAACCTTGTATAAAAATTAAAGACCCGATGCGAACAAGGTTCACTCGTAAATGCCCTGTTTATTTACGAGAACTGCTGAAAAAAACATAATACCGGGTTATGATTAACTTCAAAGTTCAATACCAGACTAAAATACCAGACTAGAGAGATCCTGCTGTATGAAATACCCAAACGAAACATCTCATTCTACCCTTCCATCTTTTGTTCCAACAGTTGGCCGACGTTTGGCGAATAACTGCGGCTGCAAGTTCATCGAAACTTCATCAGGCCTTGCCCATCACGTGGATGAGCTACTGGTCGGCATTCTGGCGCAGATTAAGCTGAATCCTCAACGGGACCGGGACCAAGCTACCAGACGAAGGAGAAGCAAGCACCGTAGGAGGATCCTGAAACATCTGTTGGGCTTTAAGAGGAAAACGAAGAGCTGCGAGGACCTCTTCGTTCTCTAACGTTTCCCTTGCTCGAGTAACGACCTGAGCATTCGGTTTGTCGATCGTTTAGTTTTCCTTCATTTTGTTTTTTTTTTTTTTCACGTACCTAAGAATCGATATCTAGTAGAGAAACAGAACATGGAAGAAGCTGGATAAATTAGCCTAAAATGTGTAAGAGTCTGAAGAGCTACGAAGCGTCTGAAGATTATCGTTTACGAGGAACAGAAAGCTGTTCGAGGGAAGTAACTTCGTGGTGGCGCTAGTGTGTGGACCTCTGCAATCGGTAAACTGGTACACTATGTTATCGACGCCGATTTGAATAAATTGTATGGGAAACTTCCTCGAGCAGGTGAATCTGGAAATGAAATCGAAGAAGGAATGTGATATCTTCAATCTTGAATATGTCCGACTTCGAAGAGAAGATTCAGGTTGAAGTCGAGGGAGTATGAGTTTGTAGAAATAACATGGAAGATATTTTCTGTCACGGTTCATGTGAATGAACTGTGGACTTTGCTTTCAGATGCCTCGTGTGAAGAACAGTATTGTAAAACTGCAATGAAGATTTTAAAGATACGATTAAGAATTACTTCATCCTTGATGCTAAGTTAGTTTGTCTTAGAATTTATTATGGAGTTTTTCGCACGCAGTTCCCTATATTTTCGTGTGATGTTTGTTATGTATACTTTATGAAAAGGAACTTCGGTGTCCTAGTTAAAAACATTTTAAATAAAAAAAAAAATATATGAAAAAGGAAAGTCACAGAAAAAAATCAACATTGTTTGAAACTTACTTACAGTTGTAAGAAATGAGATTTTAATGAGTGCATAAATGAATAAAAGAGATGATGACATGTCTGTAAGGAACAAGTTTCATAAAATATTCCATTATTTAGCAATGTTTTTTGGAGTATTCTGATTTTTGAAGTTAAAAAATTTGATAATTTTATTCTATTTTTATGTCTTAAGTTACAGTATTTTTGTTTAAAAATTAATTTATATTCATTAGGTTGGGAGCAATCCAAATATTAGAAATTGTAATATAGAAAACTAAGATCTAGGAAGATCATAAATATTTAATTTGCGAAACATAGTATTGGATCAGAAAATTTGAATGGAATATGTAGAAGCGAAGAGACGTCTTTCGAAATTGAGATTGTATATTCTCAGGAATATACCTGGGATTTATATCATCCGAGATTTGAATCCTTAAGAGATTTCCATAAAAAGATGTACTGGAGAACCGAAATAGTTGATATAATAAGTATACAACCTTGCTTTTTAGAATAATAATTCTGTACATACAATAATTTCAATTTTACAAATTTAATTATTTGTTTAGATCTCTTTAAGAATAGTTACTTAAAATATCAATTAGTTTAGATTATTTCATAAAGTGGTAATTTTTATTTTTATTTATTAATCAACTTCTAATGTGAGTAAGTTAATTTATTATATAATTTATTAACAAATAAGTTAATTTATGTAAATCAATTTACATGTTTAACAAAGTTGCTTGATATACACACATAGTTTTCTAAAAACATGGATTTTTGGCAATGTAAATATATTTACTTTGCAGAGACCAGAACATAAATATCATCTCTTTAAAAATAAAATTAGAAAGAAAACAACAATCTACCATTAAATTTGATTCATTTAATTAACCCTAATTATAAAGATTTTTATTTTGAATTTGGAGTTAGTGAAGACCTTCATTCTAATTTACCAGTTACTGCAAATGAAGATGATGATGATTAAAAATAAAGTAATTATTCTAATATAGTTAATCTATTAATTTATTCATATTGTAAAAAATTGTAAGTAAAATTTTTTCAGAAAACAATTCCACCAAAAATATAATATGATCAGCTCTTCCAAATTTCTTGCTCAAAGATGTAGTTAACTTTGCTGTATTTTATTGTGACACTGTGTATTAGTAAAAAGTAGTTACCTAATTGTAACCTTTTATGTGTGCAAGAAGATCAAATTACAAAGGAAAAACGAATTAGGTCAAGAAAAAAATTATTTATCAAAATTATTAAAAGTGTTAATCACTTGTCTCTGTAATTGAATATGCTTACTTTTTGCCTAACCTATTTTACGACCTCGTCATATCGTGGTTCCTACCATAAAATATTTTGTATACCTTCTAGAAAATTACTTCTGACTTCATCTGCTTTTCCATTTTACCATAGAATTCTGCTCATAAACTAGGCAAATTTTTTTTGTCATCTTAACCTACATAAATGGTTAACAATGCGTTGATAAATGTCTGCAAAAGACCAAAAATTCATCGAATTATTTACAATTCATATTGCTTTAATATTAATCCTAACCTAATATTATTAGGTCATAGATGGTTACAATTTAAATTAGGCTCCTCATGTTTATAGTGTAGGCATCTTTATTGCACTCTCTTCAGATGTATAAAAAGGTAGAGTTGCAAATAGTTCAAAGCAAATAAAAATTTTTAATTGTATAATTCAATAAACACAACACAATAAAAACTCTAACTCTCCTGTTTAGTCAATAGCAACTTAAAAACTACCTCGTGCACGTATCTTCTATATAATATATGTTATGTTACTCACAATTACCTCTGTCTCTATTGTATATTCTCTTTCACTTAGTTTAAACAAAGTACCCAATTTTCCTAGAACACACTCGAGCATATTGTCCTAAAATCTAATACATATCTAGTGTATATAGTTTTCTTTCGTACACTAATCCAAAACACTTGCCTATTCTACACATTTCTAACCTCAATAAAAATTCCCGTTCCCAGAGTAGTATTTACTTTCATTTTATATATTTTGTCTTGTATAATAAATGCTATTAATAATATTCGTCATGTAAAATATGGAATACAAAATAAAATTATATAATGTAATCGAAACTCTTGTGATCATCTGGTATTATTATTTTTATTTTACGACCAGGAGATTCGAATTCTTCTGTTCCTTTTTTAAACCAAATTGTGTGTTAGAGACATATCTCTGACGCAGAACTTGTTCATGTCAATCATATTGACAATACATGATAAATTTATGCCCAGATGATCACTGAGAATTTCAATTTAGAAAATTCACCCTATGTCTTAGCTCGAAGTTACGTCATTTTATGTATATACGTTTAAGAAGGAATATAAATCACCAGTAAGGTAAGCTAATTATAACGCTGGCGCCATCTAGTAGATTATATAAAGATTACTACTTACGTAGTAATTGCGCACCAAATATTTTTCTCCCTCCAAAAACGTTCTAGATTTTCATGAAGATTTTTCCCAGATTTTTATCCCCTGACTGCTTTGCTAACTCTACGGTAGTAAGCTAATTCCATTTCAACCTTCTTTTTCCCTCGCGAAAGGTGGCTTTTAGACACAGAATTCTCTCCATCCATTAAACAGAAAAGAAAAAAGGAAACGTGAAACAGTTATTTTCTGAGTCTCTTACAATTTTTCCTAGCTAACATCTACGCAACTTGTATCCCAGCGTTTCAGTGATTATTTAAACAGTGATTAACTCTACCGTTAATAACTCGACGTTGAAAATATAGGTAGTATAAACTATACTGTATTATATATATACTTGCTACACGCATACGTAAATCCAACTTCTCGTGCGTCAAAACAATGGATGTTCTCTTACAAACGAAAGTTAAACGAACTGGTTACTCGGCTCAATACGTGTACATTTTGAAATTAAAACGAGTAATATTTACGAGACAAAAGCAACGACTAATGAGTATTTCATCTTTCTGAAGAGTCTATATTAATAATGTCCTTTCAATATTTTTAAGTAAAGAAGGGAAAAAGAAAACAGGAGTGAGAATAAAATATCTATTTTAGATGAAGCGAAAGAATAGAGCGTGTATTCATAAATATATCGATAATCGATCGATAATTATCCGTGACTAACGTTACATCGGCCTTCTTATCAGTCTCAAAGGTGGTACGTGCGTTTTTTTCATTAACTTTTAAGCTTTTGCTGTAAGATAGAAAATATTCAACTGCTGTTCTATACTGTTGTGCTATTGATATTTTAAGATTCGTTGTAAACCAGGCTTGAATTTAAGCGATTAGAAAATTCATTATCCTGTAAATTGAAATAAGTGTGGTTATTTTAAGCTTTTACTCATGGGACCGTATGAATATGCAAATAAAGTTCTTGTGTACAATACCTTTATTCTTTATTTGAGGTTACCTCATCCAGTGTATAAATATTTCCTATTTTTCCATATTTTTTTTTCTTTTCTTTATACTTTGGAAATCATTTAAAAATCCATTCGATATTTTATTATCAAAGAAATGAAAGTAATAATATTAAAGTATTTTGTTATTGAAGAAGTAGTTATTAGACATGTTTTAAATTATTATGCAAAGTTTAAGTAAAAGTCTATACCTCACTTATGATCTTACGAATTATTAAAAAATTGAATTTAACTTTTAATTTAGATTTAAAATTTCAATTTCCCTTTTTTATTTTTTTAAATTGTCTATAAGAACATAATTATTGCACACAAATGTACGTGATATTACCTTATTTATTGCGTTCATATACATCGCGTTAAAATTCTCACACATTAAGAATATGTAAATGTTATAAAAACCAAAAGCAATTGTTTAACCATTTTGTTTTAATTTTTAAATTTGATTAGTCGAAATTCGTAACACAAGATTCCCAGAATACTACAAAGAGGTTACACGAAATTCTTCCATCAACACCTAATAAATTAAAATTACAATTATTACACGTTAAATTACAGAAGGCTGGTATTCGTTAAATTTTATGTAGAATGAGTAGAAAGGTATCGATTTTTTTTTAATTGACACGTTATTCGCTGTATAAGAATTATTTTAATTTTATCGAAGCAATCTTACGATGCAAATTACATTACCTTTATATACATTCCACCACTCACGTGATAAATATTGCTTTATTAGAAATCGTTAGTCTAGCATTACATAACTTCGTCCTCATCAACCATATGTAACTACAAAAATAGAAAACAATATAAAATATGTGAATAGGAATTGAACTTACCGACAACAAACCGATAAAAACGCCATCTGTTAGCAACGTTTTAAACTCGGATACGCTTATCCTTATGCTTCTTACACGCGATATAAACAATTACTGCAGTTTGTTATTGGAACAGTAAATACACTGTAACAGCTCACTTGGATAACATGGCAATGGAGAAGGTGGACAACAGGGCCTTGTCGAGACTTCGGGTGGAATTGGATATCTCGGTGGCGGAGAAATGCAACAGGGATTAGGTACTATAGGTATCTGACAACAAGGAGGCGCTGGTGAACGACAAGGTGGTGACAATGGACAAGGAGGCAGTTGTGGACAACGGGGAGTTGGTGGACAGCGAGGAGGCGGACAGCAAGACCTTTGAGGAGGCAGGACAGATGGTAATTCCTCGATTCTCGGTGGTAATATAATGGAACACGTGGGTAGCGGTGGTATCTTGGGACACTGGCTGGTAATGACATTCAAGTATGGAATGTTTGAAAACGACATAATCTATATTTTATTATTTCTGTTCTCTATTTAAATTAATATAGTCTAAATATCATATTACTTATGTTATGCTATTAGTTTATTTGTTATTTAATTTATTCCCATATCACATTTTAGAAACTTATTCATATAAAAAGAACAAGTTGAATTCTACAACGTAGAATATAACGTTAAAGACGCTATTTGTACTAAAAAATTGATAAACTTATCAAAAAGATTTATGCAATTTGATTTTTAATTTTTAATTTCTTATTTTTAATTTGAAATTTGTATTTCTAATATCGAAACGTAAAAAAGAGAAGTTTTCTTATTACTTTAAAAAATATTATCATTGTATCTAAAAGATAATATATAAATAAACATACCAACACTCCATAGCGCAAATCAAGTATTTTACTTCCTCCATGTCGTTCCATGTTCCCTGTACTTTACAGCGACTGCTACAATTCATTTTAAATTCGGTATAAAGAAAAGTTTTGTTTTATCTTAATATTTACAGCACTCGTTCAAATTTTCTTAATGTCTAATCAATTACATATTTATGCCATAATGTAAAATACAATTTTTAATTTTTTGTTAAACCAAAATGGGTTATATGTAAAATACAAAATCACTAACAATTTTCAAACTATAGTCAAAAAATTACTAAAACGAATTACGATCGTTTGTTTTAATACGCAAAATTACAATGAGTATTCTTTTTTCTTCTTTTTAATTTAAAAAAAATAGCTTTTTTTATAATATTTATAATTCCCAAAAAATATTTTAATACCTGATAAAATTAAATAGTATAATTAGAAAATAATTTTCATTCAACGAAACATTTATATTGTTATTGCAATAATTTGTAATAAATTTATCACCAATATTCTAGTGTAATTGTGTTCTAGAAATAAAATGTTTACCTATTCGTATATATTTTAATAAACTTTAAATCAAAAAGTGAGGGAACAAATTAGTTAAAAATTATTTAAGATTTGATAATAATATTACAGTAGCAATCACAAAGATATCTATAAAATAATTTATTACCTTAATAAATAAAACACTGCAATTTTAAATATTTACATTACTATTTTAAATATTACTGAATATGTTTATCTTTTTAAATACATGTTGTTTATTAACATTACTAAATATAATAAAATTTTGATGTAAATATAGCTAAATTTTGTATTATTTCACATATCATTTTTTTCTGTCAAACTTAGTGACAAAAAACAATTTTACAATCTGGGTATGTAGAAATTAATTACTGTCACACAATGTCTCCATCATTAAAGAAAAGTGCTTATCAGCGATTAATGTTACGAATATCCTGCCTTCTTCCATGTAGACTTCGTCCTATTTTCTTACATCCCGCAGGTTGGGAAAGATATTAACCAACAAAACACGTAGATTTTAAAATTTTAAATATCTTTTGTATGTTTTTAAATATTTTAAATATCTTCATTAATACAGGGCCAACTACAATATTCTTTTGGGCACCTACGATTAAATGGGGTTTGGTGTTAGCAGGACTAGGAGATACTAATCGATCACCAGATACAATTTCTTTGTACCAAGCTGCAAGTCTCATGATTACTGGTGCAATATGGTCTAGGTATTTCTATTTGCCCCGCAAATATGCATATAATATATTGTTTTAATACTAGAAAGAAATTTTTACAATTTATTTATCTATCAGATATTCGCTGGTCGTCACACCAAAAAACTACAATCTATTTAGCGTGAATGCGTTTATGAGCCTTACGGAAGCATATAATTTTATACGAGGACTACTTTACCAAATGGATAAGGATTTAAAATAATGTTTCAACAAGGATATGTAAAGTATATCATAAAAACAGAGATTTATAAAAATATCTTGTTTCATATATTTATTTCTAGACGTTATTTCACAGTGACACTAACTATTCGAATATCATCATAAGGTTTATCGGTTTTCGGATTCGTTTTTACTTGACTAATATTTTGTATAACTTCCATCCCTTTTACCACTCTACCAAACACAGTGTGCTTATTGTCTAACCAAGGCTGAAATATGAAATTAATATTAATTTAATATATAAAATTAATTGTTACTAATGTTTAATAAAAAGAAAAATATATAAAATTATTTCAATTTACAGTTGGTGTCAAAGTAATAAAAAATTGGCTGCCATTTGTATTCGATCCAGCATTTGCCATACTTAAAGTATATGGTCTATCATGTTTTAAATGTGGCCTAAATTCATCTTCGAATTCTCCTCCCCATATACTTTCCCCACCGGTACCAGTTCCAGTAGGATCACCGGTTTGAATCATAAACCCTTTAATTACTCTATGAAATATATGTCCATTGTAATAACCATTTTTTGAATGAACACAGAAATTTTCTACTGTTTTTGGAACGTCTTTTCCAAAGAGATTTAAATGAATATCTCCGAGAGCCGTATGAATAATTGCCGTATCGTAAATCTTTTGTACATTAGTAGCTTCTGTAGAAGAAATAATATCTTCCTTCGATGGTCTTTCATTAAAAACATCTCTATCACATTCCTGGCTTTTAGTATCTTCTGGTTCTCGCCTTGTAAACATATAAAATCTATTTTTTTTATAAGCTGTGCAAAAAAGTGTTGGATCAGGACGGTTCATTTCTAATGTCGGATTTTCTGAAGCCTCCATTTCTACAGTTACAGCAGCTGTAGTTTTCCTAGCTTTTCCCTACTCATTTTCAAAATATGGATTATTTTCATTAAAAGTTTGTCAAAAATACATATATGATTCGAAATTTGTCAACTCTATACATACCTGAAATAAAGCTAATTGCATGGGTCGAATATTTTCAGGTTTTCCCATAATTCTAATACACCGATTTGTATACAGGTTTACAACCTTTACACCTAACATTGTGCTATATAAAATTATATAACCTGATTCGTCAAAAACTATATTACCCAAATTTGTTTCTGTTTTATCCAGTTCTCTTTCTACCGCCATTCTAAACATTTAATTAAGAATTAATTTAGTTCATTATATAAGGTTATAATAATAACTACCTTCGTCCAAATTCCATATTTGGCAACTGCTGTGTCATTTGTTGCAATTCGGAAAATCTTTGTAATGTTTCATCAAATATTCTATATAATTTTCCAGTACGAAAATTGAAAACTCTAACTTTTCTATCTCCACTGAGAGAAGTAAATCTTTTACCATCTGGTGATACTGCTAATCCACATGGATAAGTTTTATTTTTTGCAAACTCAAACAAATCTGTATCTAACTTTGAATCAAATGTAACACATTTAGGAAATTTATATTCCATTTTAGGTCCAGTCCAATATTCTAATATGCCAGCTTTATCTACAGAGATACATGTTTCATATACAGGATTGTACTGCAAATGATAAAAGCTTATATACAAATTGCTTAAATAGACTCAGAATACAATATTTATGTTCAGTTCTTTACTTTCATAGCAATCACAGGTTTAGTGTGTAATTTTTCAAAAACATGTAATGGTGTATTAGTCCCTTGTCCATCATAAACAAAAATTTTATTTGATTCTTGAGCAGAGACTGCTATTGCAGATATTGCATCACCAGGGGAATATATCCATTCACAGCAAAGTGGTACAAATTCTAATTTTATCATATTAATCATGTCTGAAATCAAATTTTAATAAGTTTAGTCAATTAAACCACTGGTTTAATACATGACAAATTATTGAATACATATACTTCATACATGTACTTAATATAAAACTTACCAAAATTGATAACATCAAAAATTTTGATTGTTTTATCTAAACTTACAGTACTTGCATGAACACCATTACAACTAGCAGCCATAGATTGTATAGCCATCATATGTGCTCGAAAATGTTTTACAAATTCTATCAGTTCTTCTTGCTTTTTCCAAAATTTAACATGACCGTCACAACTACCTGTTATTACAAAATTTGATCTGTACAAATACAAAATATAAAATTGTATTATAGCCATTATTAATATTATTATTTCGAAGTACAAAATTATTATATATAATACTAAATGCTAACTTTGTTACCACAATGTGAGTGATTACATCTCTGTGCATATAGGATTTTTCATAACATTCGCAGCATGGTAAATTCTCTATATACACCTGTTCGTATTCCAAAACTGTAAAATTTAAATTGAATTTAACTAAATGAAAAATATTAAAAATTATTGGTTTTAATGGTGTATGAAATTTTATAAATTATTTTGAAAAATTTCGAATAAATTAAATTTAATAGTTCTGAAGAATATTTTCTTAAAATTACAATTTCAATAAAAATGTATATAGCAATATAAGAAATTAAGGTTATTTCATATTTCTTACGTATAAATAAATTTCAATATTTCTCAATTTTAATTTAAAATTATATCAAAATTTTATATAATATAAACAAGTGAATGTAAAATTAGGTAAACCAGAATTTTTCTACCCAATTCTTATAAAATACTAAAAGTAGTAAACAAAAGATATAGGTTATACAGATAAACCTTTCTGTTTCTTTTGAGGTACAGCTTCTGAAGGTAATGGTCCAACCCAATCTTCCTCATTATCACTTTCACCATGTTCTCTTTTACTATTTGACATTGTTATAAAAATATAAACAGAGGAGTTTTATATAAACAACGCTCTACGTTTCAAAGTGACATTTAATACAACACTACCAACGCTACGTATCTTAAATGCAATTAAACAAATCTTAATGTGATTCGATCTATGTAATTTCAATTAAAATAGAATTAATATAATATTTCTTTTCTTATAACAAAAATTTTCTTTGCATTAATATTAAGAAATATGAAACGTATGTATAACTTAATATATCTAAATTTAATAATATTTTTATGTATTTTAAAAATTATTAATTATGATTTAAAATTAATCTGCAAATTATAGTAAAACTTTATTAAGATTACTATTTTTTAGTATTTCTATTTTAATTTTTAATACTATTTTTCAATTACGATGTAAATTAAAACTACGGAATTATAGAAAATTATAAATTTAACTAAAATATTAATAATTGTATATAATTAAATTATTTTCATAAAAATATTATGCATACATTTATATAAAATTAATGAAAGGAAAGTAGTAAATATATATTATAAAATTTAAGCTTTGTAAGTATTAATAAACTAATTACTGAACTAATAACCAATTATTTTACTGCATATATTTATATTATCCCCTCTCTCTATATTTTATAACTAAATACATCATAAACTTTAACATTATCATAATATATATAATAGTACAGGCTATACATATATTATTTAGAATAGAATAAAATTACGTTAATACATTATAGAAAAGAATTTATTTTAATTGAAATTTTTCATTGAATGTTTTCTTTTATGATTTAATTAATTAAAAAATTTTCATGTATTCTAAAACCTATCAAAATTTGGAAAAGAAGCAAGATTGCCATGTTTAATATCACGCTCTGATTCAGTTTTTATACCATTGGTTGGAGTAGGAGTTGTAGAGGGAAAACTATTTGATTTGGTAGGGATCGCGTTGCTTAGAAACAGGATACGAGGCCACGAGGTTAATACCGTTGACACGCAGTTTCTCTATGATACGTAACATGGCATGTGTAAGGTCAAGGTTTATATCAGTTCTTTAATGTTTGATACAAATGTCAGTAGGTTTTGATTATGGTTACGTTATAATACAGAGGTTAGCGTCACGTTGCGTTTCATTTTCACATTGTGTTGCTAAGCAACGCGACGCTCGCCAGTATCAAGTGTTTTCCCTCCACTTAATGATGGTTTAGGAGTTTCAACCAATCATTTCGCTATACATTGAACTTGGCACGAGAATTGCAACCAATCGTTGAACCGTAGCATCGAACCTGGCAACCCTGAAAAACAGGTATATATTTAACCTACTCCGCTAATAAAATTTTAGTTTAAGAAGGACTGAGCTGTGTGATATTATTGTGTTATATATATGGCTTATTTGTTTGTAATTTACTTATAAAACAATTGATATCAAAATTTGTTATTGTTATTTATCTGAGAAACGTTAAAATCTGTTGTACGTCTTAATATGACTAGGTGAGCTTCAAAAGTTTTGAGGTTATATTTTTATATCACGAATCAAAACATTCTAAAACCAATTACATTTGTTTTATTTCAATCTATTATAAGTGGTTTTATACGATCATTTTTGTTTCATTTATGATTTGTAATAACTATCAGTAAATTGTAGTTTTACATACTCTTACTTTCAAGGGCACGTTTATTTAAAAACGTGTAATTAAAAAATCATAATTCTAACATAAAAAAATACAACGGATAAAGTGTATGTACAAATAATTTTTTAAGTAAAATAATTTTCATGAAGAATTATTAAATATAATAAGATATAATATTCATTAAAAAGTTTATAATTTCGCGGTTTTTTTAATATTTTGTTTTAATAAATAAAAATAGATCTAAAGACATTTATATGTATTTATGTTTATATAGAAACATGTTATATGTGTATTTTCACATAAAAATATATTTTAAAATGTTCAAATTATACATAAAACAATAATGTTATTATAAGTATATTTTGTGTTTAATAAAACTAGAAAATTAAAAATTACAGATCAAAAATAGAATTAGGAGATGTAACACCACATAATATAAAACAGCTTAAACTTCTTAATCAAGTGGTATTTCCAGTCTCATATAATGAAAAATTTTACAAAGATGTCTTAGAAGCTGGGGAGCTAGCAAAACTTGCATATTACAATGATATAGTGGTATGTCATATCGCCAATATATATTCCTGTTTAGAAATATGTAATTTTTAAATAAAATTTTATTGAATTAACTTATTTTTTTGTTTATATTAGGTTGGTGCAGTTTGTTGTCGAGTAGATACTTCTGAAAACTCTAGACGTTTATATATTATGACATTGGGATGTCTTTATCCCTATAGAAGACTAGGAATAGGTACTGTAATGGTACAACATGTTTTAAATTATGTTTACAAAGATGGTAACTTTGATTCCATCTTTCTGTAAGTATTTATTTAAATTTGTTAAGTGTACTAGTTATATGACACACTGTTTACACAAATATATGTAGGGATATATTTGATTGGCATAAAAGAAGAAGAGATGTTATTTAATTATAAAATATATATTTATTACGGCTAAATGAAACTAAGAGTAAAGTACAACTAAAAAGATTAAAACTAATAACTGATCTGTGATTACGCGAATGACCGAAACTCTCTCGTTCGTTTTTCCGATTCTGGATCCAATCTGCCCTTTCATCATTGTTCATTGTTCATTCGCCTTTTATGCACTCACACACACACTATACATTCATACGACCCATCCCCACAATGTATTACACACGTTCTAAGAATTCATTCGTCCTTTACATCCGATCCTAACCCATCATCCACTCGCGCGGCTTATTTCTCGTGCGGACAGTTGTTTAATCTCGCCGATACCCTTTCAAGTGTTTCCGCTTTTATATATATAATAATTAATAGTTACCAGTTGTATGTACTTTTGTTTACAGTCATGTTCAAATAAGTAATGAAGGAGCTATTGACTTTTACAAAAAATTTGGATTTGAAATAGTAGAAACAAAGGAACATTATTACAAGCGAATAGAACCTGCAGATGCTCATGTATTACAAAAAACTTTACGTCCTAAAACAAATCAAACAAATAATCAACAAAGTAATCAATAAAAATCGTTAATCATTAATTTATCACATCTCAAAAACTACATGTTTTCATAGTCTGGTAATAAAATTATTTTTATTGTACTTCCCAGTGTGTTATAAGTTATAAAATTAGAGTTTTATAAATAATTTAATAAAGTTGATAAATACAATGTACATCCACATAAAAAATATAACATAACAATTCCATAAATTAGTAATACTCACAACAAAAAAAGTGTAATTTTTCAGTTATTGCCAGCATTATACTTATCACTTTTTCTTATATCATTTCACTAAACTGATATCACATTTATAATGGTTTATTTATGCCTAATACATTTAATAACTTGTGTCAGCTGCATAAAATATAAAACAGCATTATAATGCTGGGAACTGAAACAATTTTAAATATTTTATACAACCAATGTATCTATAATTTTCTTATTCTTAAAACACTTTGAGTAGAAAATTGAAAATTAAATCGCTTTTCTTGCGATTCCATATTCAGTGAACATAATACAAAGATATTAGCATTTTAACATTACTATTTAAGTACAATGATTTGAGATTATTTGACTTCAAATTAGACATAAAATACAATAGTGTATCATTAATAAAATATAAATATATAATATAAAATATGTAGATAGAAACACATTTATCACGCTCACGTACCAATGCATAAAACTCTTGAGATATTGAAAATTATTGTTAGTCTTTGTACATAAAAAATCAATTAAAATTGTCCTTTTAAAAACCAACAATAGCAAAGAAACTTTTGTTCCCGCATATTAACGTTTATACTTTAATGAGTATTTGCTACATGCATATAATTATGATGCTAATAGTTCCTGCAATCTTTTCACACATAAATCTGATCCTTCGGATGCTTCTTTTGAAACCTGTAAATTTAAATGATTTAATATATTAAGATACAATGTAATATTGTTGTTTTATTTAATAAGAGAAGCATTTACCGGTGTTAAATTAAGAAACCCATGCGGTAAACCTGGCAATATATCAAGCGTAACTAATACACCGAGCAATCGAAGTTTCCTTGCAAACATGACAGAGTCATCAAGGCATGGATCCAACTCTAATGTCTATAAAACATTTTTATCAAAATACTTATATAATCTTACATATTATTACATATAAAATTTAGGATTTATGAATTTACCAGCATTTTAACGGGTGGTAATTGTGCTAAAAGATTATCCGACGCAAGATAAGGACTTAAATATGGATCTCTCGGCACTGTGAATACAAACTCTTCTAAAGGACTTTTTGTATTTTCTGTATCCAGTTCTTTGGATTCTCTGAGCCTTCCACTGAGAGACCATCCAAAAAAGGACCATGATCTCTTATTCCTTGAAATGTTATCCGTATTAACAGTGCCATTTCCAATATGTGTTGAAGCGTTTGTACCACAATTTCGATAGAGTTCTAAAAATTTATTAATATATTCTTGAGATTTTGCTTCTTCCTGTAGATGTTCCGCTCCTGTTATGTTAGAGAATGTTCAGAGAGTATTTAAATGTAAAACCAACTATAATAAAAACAATGAACTGAAATAAAAATTATGTAACATATTTAAATTATATTCTTAAAATATCTATATATTTAATACATTGTTGATTTATTTACCATCAGCTTCTGTTAAAGTAACGGAATTCAAAGTAGAATCAGATGGTAAAGATGCTAATTTATTTGCATCATTTGTTTCATCTCCATTAGGACTGAGGGCTAATGCAATTAGATCACTTTCACTTACTTCAGCAAAAGATTCTGTATCTGATTTTACACATTCAACGATGTCATGTTCTTTTTCCCTAACGAAAATAATATTGAAAATGGTAAATAATAATTATATATAGAGATTGATTTATATGTATAATATTTACCGCATAATGTTTTTATTATCTGAAGCAGCATATGCTTTCAAACAACGTATAAGAAATCCCATAGGTAACATTGGGTCTGTAAGGCAAAGTAGTCGCGAAGGTGATAATACAAAGTCGACAAGTACTGGTGTATAAGCCATAAATATTCCATCAGGTTTTCTGATATCTAGTTGTATACATTTTAAAGTAACTCCCAAATTTAAGTTGGCCCCAGCAGAATCACCTATCAAAACATTCAATGTTATGCATATATATTTATGAACAGATATACAAATGTATGCGCAGGAAAGTCTATTAAACCACTAGCAATAATGCGATGCTTTACATCTTACCAGCAAGAAGTACTTTTTGAACTGTACTCCCAAGCAATGTACTTGCATGATTTAAAGCCCATGCATATGCATATAACACTTCTTCAAGTGCACGAGGGAATGGAGCTTCGGGTGCTAAACTGTAATCTATACTTAAAATAGGTATACCAAGATTTATGGCCCAATTGCGTAAGTATGTTTCATGAGACAATGAAGTCTGCGCTACAAAACCTCCACCATGACAATGAATTATCAATTCATTAGATAATCCATGCAATTCTCCCCCTACTCCACCTGAACCAACCTGAGAAAAGCATGTACTGCACAGAAGTGAAACTGAGGTTTCACAAAAATTTCTACGTAATTAAGGGAAATGTAGAGATCAAATTGATAACTGAAAATACTGATTGTGCTAGCAATATAAAATAATTAAGTTATGTTTTTACCATTCCTAAACGACGTTTGGAACTTAACAGTCTAACATGTATTGGCTTCTTCCCGATATGACTGTTTGGTATAGGAATTGACACAGATGTCCCACCTAATGTAGGAAGGATCAATTCTTCAGGTGGAATAGAAATTATTTGATTTATTGCTAAAGAAGAAGATGTTATAGTAGGTAATCTGCGTGCAATATCTGAAATGTATAATTTATATTATACTTAAAAATAATTATCAAAATCTAAATATAATAGATATTAAAATCATAGTATATTACCATTCTCATTGAGAAACCAAAAAGCTTGACAAAATGAAATATCAGCACGTTGAGACACATCAACAATACGACGTGCCCTTGTTTCAGGATCCAACATATACTTAACAGAATTAGCACATCTTGCTAACAATGTGCCATTAGCATAAAATGCTTCACTAAATGTTGCCATACAGACCATTATAGTTTTTAAAATAGGCTTTAAGTTATCATGAAACTGGAAACAACGTATTTTAAAACAAAATGACAAAAAATAGTTAATTATTAATTAAAGTTATATATAAATCTTCTCAATAGTACCTGAAATCCTAAACACCTGCCATAGAAACAATATTGATTAATAGTATCTATTTTATTTAACATTTCATGTGGATTGTGATTATCTCCTATAAATAAAGATGGTTTCCCATCACTTATGTGTTCACTCCATGAATAAAGCGTTTGTAAGTGCTCTAAGCAAGTGCACAAAGATGCCAACAGTTGTGAACAAGCTTCAATTTCTCTATAAATATTTTTACTTATCAGTACAATTTTGGATACAAATATTTCATAATTTTTAAAAATAAATCATATTTAAATAATTACCTCATGTGATAACTTTTACGAAAAAATATAGAATCTTTTTGACAGTATATTTGATGACAAATTGAACGAGAATGTATAATACACTTATCTATTAGTACCAAGAAACTTCTATATCCATTGCCAGGTGTTTGCACATCAAGATCAAACAATGGTGCAATTCTACTAATTTCTTTATATAATGGTTGTAACTGTACCAAATGATCTAATATAGCCATAAGTGCAGCCCTAATTCTGACACTATTCTCATCTTGATGTGACCCAAAGTATTCTGCATTAGCATGACATAATTCCCGTAAAGCTCCCCAATGCAGAGGCTCGACATCTTCAAATAGTCTATCAAAGTCATTATTGAGCGACATTTGAGCTGTTCCTTGTTTATTCATTTAATAATAAATTTTTAGTTATTTATTTTACAATAAGCAATATTTATAGAATCTGAAATATGAATATATCTATATTATTGTGTTATTTGCTGACAGAAACAAAAGTTTTTATTATATGTTTTGTAACAATGCATTATTATTTTTTAATATATTTGGAACATAATACATATAAAAATAGTTAAAATGAATTCACTTATAATTAATATTTAATATTAGTACCTTTAAAGTTCATGATGCTAATTTAAATAAGGTTATCAAATTTATGATATTCAAAATATTCAGGTCACTTTTAATTATTTTTTAACTTTCGATTCACACTACATTATGTTTACATGCAATAAAACTTTTTATGTATATCATGCTTCAAATGAAATGACAATTTTTATTTTGTATTTGACATTTCCTAGATCTCTATCATGGACGCCATATTGTTTTTCCAATCGATAGCATTATCTCACCACAATACCACGCGCTAGGTACGAATTAAATGTTATTGACATACATGTGTTTGAATAATGAACTAGATAACTAGTGGTAAACCGTTCGTAGTTGCAAAATGGATCTAAAACCATATCTTATTATTTCATTTTAACTTTTTAGGTAATTCTAATGTAAATTTAAAAATATGCGTTATAAATTTATACTCATAAAAATAATACTTTTTATCAAATAATTACTTGTTAATTATATTACACGGTTTAATGACCTAATGAAAGCAGTTTATCGAATGATTATGATTTCTTAATCTTAACTGATAATATCAATTATCGTGATAAAATATTAATTAGGACATACATATCAACAAAGAATATTTATTATCGATAACAATAGGAATACTTACCAGACACATGTATATCCCTACGTACTATTATCTACAATGATTACAAAAGAAATGACAGAAGTGTACATGCGTCGGTTTGATATTAATTTCGTCAGACTGATGAACAGACGACAAACAATTTTACACTTCAGCAGTCATGACTATTACGCGTTAGGCAACCAGTCGCGTTAAATGAATTAATCATAAAGATATTCCAGTGATATCTAAATATGGAAACCAGTGTACTTTCTTGGAAGTTTTATTACTCAAGATCTTTATTATAAAATGTATTCTTTTATACCATATATGACCGAGTGTCAATTTTTAGTTTCTGCGTGATAGTGTTTCATTATTTTAGTTTATACATATATAGTCGTATAATAAAATTCTTGCATTTTTAAATAAATTTGTCTTATGAATTATACTTTGAAATATAAATCTCTTTATCGATTTAATAATTTTTTCCATTCTAAATAAAATATTTAAAAAGTGTGAATATTTTATTTAATTAAGCGCTTATTATATATCAATTGATTTTATTTCTTTGATTTATGAGAGAATACTAGACAGACCAAAACTATTACATTTGAAAAGTGTTGGAAAGTGACTGACATTTAACTAGATCTTTGTAATTTATTTATTGATAAGTAAAATTACATATATCCACAAACACAATACGTTCTTTTCACGGAGTGTATTAATGCGATAAAATTTGTGAGTGGCGAGGAGAAATCCTTGTGTGATGGAGAGAAAGAGGGAGACGGGGGAGTTAGTTTAATCCTCCGGTTAGTAACTTTTCTACTCGTCGAAGAACGGTCACAGAAACGTTCTATAGCAAACATGTAGTTTCCGATCCTACAATTAAAAGCAACTAAAAAAATTCATGTTTCTCCGATCCAGGTTGTGTGTCATTTCCAATATTTGTATCTTTTTTTTCTTACTTCGATTTGACCGAGTGGGCGGCATTATAATGTACCAAATTTTATCGAACTCCGACGCTGATCAAGTCGTCATCTAGCATCGATCAATCGGTTCGTATTAAGCAAACATCTTAGTCGAGAGATTCAGTTGCCGATAAATAACGAATACTGGACAACGCATACAAAGTAACACAAAAATAGGATGATACTGAGAAACTTTGATTCAAGCATGAAGTCGCTTTGTTTGAGTGCCAACGAATGCAGGACGTAAGATCGAAAACTAATACAGCGCTGTGTATAGGCGTGTACATGAGTATCGATATATTGCACGTACAATCGGGCTCTCGCATCTCATCATTATTACGATATTAAGGTTTATTGAAGACGCGGAATCGATAGAATCGTAAGAATCGATTTATACCGAAAGAACTGCAAAAATAAAGTTTAGTTCCGTTATTATTCCCATTTCGCCGACTTCTAAATCCGAACCGCTACGCAAAGGACGTATTATTTTCTTTTGTTCCTTCATTCTTTTTTTTTCTTCCTTTTCCTCACTTTCCACGTGTCTTTTTTCCATTTTTTTCTTTTCTTTAAGCTAAAGTTAATTACCTCGGTAAATATTTATTACCTCTTTACAAAAATCAATTCTTAAACTTATACAGAGTGGCTCGATGCAAATTCACAATATCTTGAAGTGAAAGAGTGACGTGGACGCTATCGCCAAACGAACATACTAAAACTGATATGCTTCGAAGGGGCTTTTCAAGCTTTCTTAATACTGATGATAGCTTTCTTCATATTTTAGCGCCGATTATTGTCGAAGTAACATTATATTTTTTTGTTCGTTATACACGAGTATTTATTTTACTTCGACACTCCACTGAGGGGGTGTCTTTTCTTTTTTCGACGCATATGAAGTGTTGCCAATGCCAATCCCGGAACTGCGTACGCTATTCGAAAGATGGTATGCGAGATAAATTTGGCAAGCATTACAGGTGCTGTCCGCATCATATTTTTCGACAAATATAATGTATGATGAACAACAGCACTTCTGCCAACATAGGCCAATTGTTATATGGTCGCATACCATCTTCGTTTTCTTTTATTGTATGACAAATAAAAATCATCATAACTCGAATGACATCGCGATTAAAAGAAAGAATTGTATTTTTGATTCTTTTTTTTTTCTTTTTCTAGAAACAAGAAACATGTTTCTTCCTCAACATCTGTGAATCCGTATCAAGTCAGATTATTTTTTTTATACGCGACGTGTCAATGTTTTTTTTTTTTCTTCTCATTATAACGACTATATGCTATAGGTACATAATGTATAGTTAATTTGATAGGTGTACATGTATATGCATATGTATATATATATATATATATCTATGTATATATTGTTCATATATTACACACACACACACACACATACACACATGAACATATATATTTATATATAGATATTTATATTATTATTAACGCATTGATGCTATGCTTTTGTTGTATTTTCATAGACATATGGTTAATTGCTATCATTTTAATATATCTAAAATAATATTTTTAACACTCAGCGATGCGCGAATGTGTGTGCCTGTGTATATACCTTTTTCGTTGGCTTATTCTTCCACCGGAGTTGCGTGAGACAGTCTAGTATGTTTGCTAAATAGGAAGGCAACTGCTTCACGTGCGCTTAGGAATCCAAGGATATTGTTCAGTGTCCTCGGTTTGCGCATTCGCTTAATTTATTTTAGCAAAATTAGCACAAAACAAACAAACCTTATTGGTAGTAGAGAGAAAGAGAGAGAAAGAGAATACAACTTTTTGATGAAATGACGCGTAAACATAATGCATGATCGTACCTAAATAAAAGCATCTTAAAACCATCGTTATTAACGTAATACTTGCGCGACTAAAATTGTTGTTACTTTTGTTGTAATTGTACATAATACTTAACAAATCGATATATATATATATATTTATATATTAATATAACTAATTAACTGATACAAAAAAATATAATCTAAATTAAAGAAAACGTGCAATTATTCATTAAAATGAATGAAAGCTATGCTTTCCCACGCGACCCTGGCTAAAGCGCAGCCTACTACCTTTTGACCATATACAAATATATAAGCATTAAACGTGTAATATATTATCGTCATCATATATAATTAATATCCTAAGATAGTTATTGTATGAACCATCTTTCGAGAGAAAAAAAACGATGAAATAAAAAAAGGACAGAAACACGCTTGTTTTTAACAGTCGCCACTTATTCGATCTAAATCGGAGGTACTAATGCCACTCAAAAAACTCCTGTATTAATCTGTTCCTCTTATTCGGCAACCTCGACGTGATTCTTTCGATTCGTCCATTTTCATTAGAAAACACAACGATACCTCGGCCGAATCGAACAAAGCTACCGAATATTTTCCGTGCATACGTTCAGACAGTACCTCGATAAGATAGTGGACTTTTGTTATGGAATGATAAAATATCTTGCTTCTCGTAAACTTTAGATACGTTCATGATTCAATTTCTTATAAGTATAAAGTTGTATAATCTAAGTAGACGTTAAGTACTGAAAAGGTCGCTGAAAAAATCAGGCAGTGGGAATCGAACGGAGATGAAAAAACAGCTGCATCACGAAGGTGAACGTGCATTGACCGCCGTTCTGATATTTTAAGAGTGTCGTAGAGCATACACTTTTGTATAGTGCTATTAATATGCTTATCATTTTTTTTTTTTTTCGTTTAAGTCGGATTATACTTTTATGCTGCCACTGTGCAAGCTGCTACCGCTGCTACCATTTTTCTTATTTTCACATATTATTTAAGCTGCGTTTACCTTTATTGCCATTTACTATCTCCAAAAATATCAGAACTGAGAAATATACAGCAAAGAGCGCAACAGCACGCATACTGTGAATGCGTCATCGACGAGATACATTTCTTCCATCGCATACGCATTTCCTATTGCTGAAAACAATGAGTTTGTAACTGATCATAGTCCACAGCCTTCTAATCGAAGGGTATCGCGTATAACATTAATGTGAGTAATGATTCTTTTTCTTCATTATGAGCGCTCCTTCCTGTGTTTCTTTGTTTGTTTATTTTTTTTTTTTAGTAACATGTATGACAACGAAACGAAAACAACGTGTATGAGATACTTCCGAAGACAACATTACGCGCTTCCCATATGGCACATTGGCATGTTGTTTCCCTTTCGAATTGTCTCGTAGATAATCTTGACGGTACGAGTATATGGATCAACCCGTAACACTTCTATCTACTAGATGTTATATGAACATTGCTTTATACATATCATAGATTGTTAAATGTGGTCGTATAACGTCATGAGCTATAATAAAGAGACGTGTCACAATGATATTGTATCGCAATACCTATTTCTCTATGGACAGATTTTATTCCATATATCACTAAGATATAGATTTGTATACTTTCGGAATCTTCGGAAGAACCTCGAACCTGAAAGATATCTTACACTAACAAAATACTATGAAATTCTTGAAGAACATA